AACTCTAAATTCGTGTTTCCTCGAGTTTTGCTTTTTTGAGTTATGGCACTATTGAAGTAAATGAGCGATAGGTGTACATGTATGTATGTATGTGCGTAACACACAGGTTCTACAAAAGTGTATTAACTCAAAAATTCTCCGATTGGCAGAAAACATAAACAAATTTATAAACACGGCGCACACTGTCTTCAAAAGGGGCACAACTCACAATTACACGTTTTCGTCAGAAAATGCGAAAAACTGTTTCTTGGCACATGATAATCATATGGCTAAGGTTTTTTCTAACAAATTATAACAAAAATTTGCTCCTGCTTTTGCTGCACGGTAAATAAAAGCTCTGTGTACAATTTTAGCGCATAATTTAAAAAATGCCAAATTTTGAGTTGTACCTCTTTTGAAGACTGTGTGCGACATGTTAATCATATGGGATTTTGCAACAAATGACAACGAAATCTTGCTGCCTTTTTGCTGGAAGGTAAATACGCGTTCGGTGAAGATTTTCTGCGCATAATATCAAAAATGGGTAATAGAGAGTTAACGCACTTTTGAAGAACGTATTTGCTTTTAAGGGATACCGATTTCCAGTAATTTAGCATATTCCTGTTAACAATATTTTTTCTGAACATTTTTCATTTTATAGATAAGTTTCTATTCGATGAACTTCTAGAGCTAGTGGATTTCTCAATGTATCCCAACGGTATGACAGGCGCAGAAACATGCCCAGCCTTTCATTTCTTACCGCGTTTCGTAAGGGACTTACCCGATAACGGAAAGGAAGTATTAGCTATGAGTGAAGTACTTCGATATTTACTTGACAGCGCAGCACCGCTGGTCGATCGTGAGCAATTGCATTGTATAAATGACATCAATCAGCATGATTGGCAGGATTATGTAGACTTCATAAAAGGAATGCTTGTAACGAAGCCTGGATACAAGCCGTGCTCCGTTCGGGTTGATCAATTGGACCGAAATGTTTCAGACTTGCCTGAATGTATCGACGCCGAAGAAAACGTTTCACATCCAGCAATCGTTCATTTCGGCATACGCCCACCACAATTGAGCTACGCTGGCAACCCAGAATACCAAAAAGCATGGCGTGAATATGTTAAGTATCGGCATCTGATGGCTAATATGTCCAAGCCATCATTTATCGACAAGCGTAAGCTAGAAGAAAAGGAGGCGCGTTTACAGGAAATGCGTACACAGGGACGAATGAAACGCAACATAACTGTAGCTGTTAGCTCAAAGGGCTATTATAGAACTGGAATAATGTGTGATATAGTGCAGCATGCAATGCTCATTCCGGTACTTACTGGTCACTTGCGATTCCATAGATCGCTCGATCTCTTAGAACAAAATATTGGTTATAATTTTAAAAACCGGTGAGTATTTATCATTAATCTCGCTATGATGCATTTATAATTGTGGGGATCCCTTTTTTTCAGATATTTATTGCAGTTGGCGTTGACGCATCCCTCGTACAAAGAAAATTATGGTACAAATCCTGATCATGCTAGGAATTCACTTACAAATTGCGGAATTCGACAACCCGAGTATGGAGATCGCAAAATACACTATTTGAATACTAGAAAGCGTGGTATAAATACCCTTATAAATATAATGTCCAGATTTGGAAAGGAATACGAAACGATGTCAAATATAACTCATAATGAACGCTTGGAATTTCTAGGAGATGCTGTGGTTGAGTTCTTAAGTTCTATCCATTTGTTTTTCATGTTTCCCGATTTGGAAGAAGGTGGATTGGCCACATATCGTGCTGCTATCGTACAGAATCAGCATTTGGCATTGCTTGCTAAGAAGTTACACTTGGAGGAGTATATGCTTTACGCACATGGTTCTGATTTATGTCATGAGTTGGAATTACGCCATGCCATGGCTAATTGTTTCGAAGCTTTAATGGGAGCATTACTGCTTGATGGTGGTATATCAGTAGCAGATGAAGTTTTTATGAACGCCTTATACATGGAAGATGAACAATTAAGAGAAATTTGGAAAAACTATCCAGAGCATCCCCTACAGGAGCAGGAGCCCTTAGGTATGCACGGTAAAAGTAAAATTGAAAAGGGTTTTCGGGCTTATTGTTTGACATATCGGAAAAATTAACTTAGTAAAAAGCATCGATTTATCGCTGATATCTGATGTTTGACAATTTATTAAAGTCTAGTTAAATTTAAACAAAACCTTTACATATATTACCCTGCTGCATTGTTTTTTGATGCATTTTCATCAGTGTACGAAAATTTGTTTAGACAATTTTGAAAAAAAGTTATCACAGTTTCACTAGCATACCGTTGCACACAGTGCCATTTTAGTTGAAGTGTATATCCAGCTTAAAATATTGTTTAATATAAAATCTCTATTTATTTATTTAAGTAGCGAAATTGATCGCAAACATCAAATTTGTGGCCGATATTGTCGATGTTTAAAAAAACATGGTTTGCATCGTACTCAATAAGGCATCTGTATATTTCATCTAATTTTTTATAAATAAATAGGTGATCGTGGTTGCATTGCTTCTTATCCAGTGCTGCAAGAACTAACCAAGTTCGAGGAATCCATTGGCATTCAATTCAAGCACATTCGTCTCTTGGCCCGTGCTTTCACTGATCGCTCCATTGGATTTACTCATCTCACGCTAGGTTCTAATCAACGTTTGGAATTTCTTGGAGATACAGTGCTACAATTAATTTGTTCGGAATATCTTTATCGTCATTTTCCTGAACATCACGAAGGTCACTTGTCTCTGTTGCGTTCATCTCTTGTGAACAACCGTACTCAAGCAGTAGTGTGCGATGATCTTGGCATGACTAAGTATGCGGTTTACTCAAACCCAAAGGTGGAACTGAAGACTAAAGATCGTGCAGATTTGTTGGAAGCGTTTTTGGGTGCATTGTATGTTGATAAAGGCCTTCTATACTGCGAGCAATTTTGTCATGTTTGTCTGTTTCCACGATTGCAAATATTTATTATGAACCAGGATTGGAATGATCCAAAATCAAAGCTACAACAGTGCTGTCTCACTTTACGTACAATGGAAGGTGGCGAGCCTGATATTCCTATTTATAAAGTAATCGAATCTATTGGACCAACTAACACGAGAGTGTATACAGTTGCAGTTTATTTTCGGTCCAAACGCTTGGCCACTGCGACGGGTTCATCTATTCAGCAGGCTGAAATGAATGCAGCTAAACAAGCATTGGATAATTCTCGTGATTTGTTCCCTCAATTGGACCACCAAAAACGTGTTATTGCTAAAAGTATCAAAAAGCAAAAAGGTGCCGAACTGAAGACAGAATTCGAAGAGATAATGCCTGAGCAAACAAAACCAAAAACTACGAACTCAATGGAGGATGAGTCACACCTTCCCAAACAATATCGGATACGTGAAGACATTTCCAGTGATGAACTACCAGAAGATGACATCAACGATGGTGGTATTGTGACTATCGCGGGTATGTATGTTAAATCCAATTGCTATTGATCGTGACATGTGTTAAGTAAACGATTTTTTTTTTATGACAAAAGCTACACTGAACCCTAAAAAGTTTTGCATTAAAGGTACTCATCTTCAAAGTTGAATACCTCTACCGTTAAAGTGTGTTTGCATTGTTTAACTTTGCATTCAACTATTGGTTGAATGTAGGTAAAACTAAAAATAATTAAAACACAGATACTTCGTTTTCATGCCAACAATCTTAAATAACTTAGCTTAGCTCTGAAACTTATGCAATACAAAGAAATTCCATTTTTTGAAACAAAAAAAAAACTTGTTAACTTTTTAATACACAATGGAATTTCTTTACATTGTTTAAGTTTCAGAGCTAAGCGTAGTTATTTGAGATAAATCTTTATTGTTGGCATGAAATCGAAGTATCTGTGTTGTAATCATCTTTTTACCTAAATAACTTAACTAACAGCAGAGATATTCAACTTTGATGATGAGTACCTTTAATGTACAACTTTTTTGGTTCACTGTAGATTAACGAATTTAGCTTAGCATTTTTTATTTAAAAGTAACGGCAAGCTTACAGTTTTGCGTAATATTGATTGACATTTTCTTCGAGTTGAGAATGTTTCCCCAATTTCTACATTCCAGCGGACTTGTGCACAAGATTGTTATAACTTTGTTCGTAGGAGTATATTGCATTGATTACTATCCATATCCTTCTATATTTTAGGTCATTTGAGGCATAGCAGCTCAAGCCATTCAAGTTCAGAAGAAGAAGTTTCGGAGAAACACTTCACATCGAAGCGAAAAAAGAAAAAACGCACTAAAAAAACAAATTCCATTGAAATGAGTTCGAATTCCTGTTCATCTAAAGTGATGTGCCATGAAATGGAAGATAATCAAAACGCCAACAGAAGAAACTGTGAGGATGTCAGTAGTGATGATTGCTTTGAAGAAAATTCGATTTCTAATCTTGAAAATCATGAGCTACCTTCGATTAAGCCTGCCTCCTCAAAAGAAGACCCTAGAGTAGTGAAAAATACAATGCTTCACGATTTAAAAGATTTGGTGGAAGATGTCTCGTCAAATTCGGATATAGAGTCAGGAGAAATAAGTAGTTAAGCTCCACTCGGGAAAACTATGTATTCGACTTTCATGTGTTGGGTCAAAGTATTAGTTTATTCTCTAAAGAAAAATTAAGTGTTTTAACAAAAGGCATTACATGGAAAAGGATCACATGGACCAAATCCTTCATATAAGTTTTTAACAAAATTTAGAGATGACTAATGCAAGATACCCACATGGCAACTTACGGAAATGCTCTGTTAGCACTTTCTATATTAATTTAAGTTTTGGAAATATATGTATGTATGTATATCCGATTTCATAATTGTCAAACAGAGCTTTTTGCATTGACTGTGACGCAGTGGTAGAACGCACCTCTAACCACTCAGCCACAATTCTTATAAAAAATATACTTTACGTCTTATAGTAGTATAGTTTTGCCTTTCTATAAAATTCGGAAGGTCAATAACATTTTCATAGAATGGAACCGAATATGGATTCAGCCATTGGGTTTTATTGTAATATTCTTGCACATATTCCACACCGTGTATATATGCATAGATTTATGTACATGTTATGTTATTATGAGTGAAGGTGCCCTCACTTAAATAGAGACAGTCTCCGAGAATACAATCGGCCACCATTACTAAGAGCATTTTGGACTTCTTTCAATTCCGGCAACTTTCCTATATCACCTCGGGCTGCCATTGATGGAGGTGTAGCTAGCAATCTTCTCGATACTCGTTGGATATCCTCCTGTTTGATTTTTTCTAGACAAAGCAACAAATTTAATTAAATTATAGAACTTTTTTTTTTTAAATACGAGTTTCCTTACCAATTTCGCGTATAAAATGTTCAGGACGCTTGCGATGACCTGTCGCTAAAACTTGTCTACCTACATCTTCAAATACAACTGGTCTGGATTCCAGGTTCATTAAAAGCATCGACTGTAACTGTATCTTTGATCGACTCAACTCATCCTTGCTGGGTTCGCATGCCATGTTAACAAGTTCGCGTGTAACAACCTCAACCATATCTCGCACATTGCTAGGGGGAGCACTGGCATGTATACAGAAGAGGCCAGTGTCAGCATAGGCGTGATTATAAGCAGTGGCACTATACATCCAATGATAGCGATTAAGTACGTTTGTATACAAACGTGAATACATGCCCTTGCCAGGACCGCCAGCAGAGAAGGAACCGCCCCCTCCCATCATAATGTTCAAAACACATAACGCAACGAAATCAGGATCTTGATGAGAACAGCCTTCCAGTCCAATTACAACATGGGCAAGTTCTGGCAGGCCAGTAGCTGCGTAGATTGGTATTTCACATTCTTCCTATAAAAATTAACTCCAACAATCTTTTGAAATGTTTGCTTGTATATTATAAAAATACCTTTGTCAAGCCACCTGTGTATTGTGCGATTGAAGCATCCACCTCGGTTGCTCCGGTTCCTTTAATAATTTGTGTTTCCCAAATAGCACTCTCTTCAACAAAATATTTCTCTACGTTTCGGACTAGCTCATCATGATTGACCTATATTTAAGTGTTTTCATTGTCCAACATTTCAGTATTTTATTAGGTGTCTAACATTAACTTACCCCAACACCGGCAATTACCATACGTTCTGGAGTATGATGATACTTTAAATAGTTCATTAGTACATTCCTATCAATGTGTGGAAGATTTTCAGCTGGGCAGAGTTTTGGTAAGCCTAGAGTATTATCTCGATATGCAGCTGCATGTATCATATCCATTAATATAGGCTCTTGCTCCGGTCGCATTCCTAAAGTCTCCAACTCGAATTGGACAGCTTTTCGAGCAGCACTCACTTCCCCTACATGAAGTGTGGGTCTCAAAGTTACATCAGCAAGTAATCGCGTTACCGATTCAATTGCTCTGCTATCTATGCTTGCTGCATAAATAAGTGTGTCACGGGAGCTTTGGCAGTCGCAAATGCCCCCATTTTTCTCTAGCTCCTTCAGAATAGCATCTTTGTTCGGAAATTTCTCAGTTGACTGTAATAATTGTCGATGTCGGTTAATTTGTAGATAACAATTTTCATTTAAATCTGTGAACTACATACATTAAACGCCAACTTCTCGAGAAAATGCGAAACTCCACTGGGATATGTAACCTCATACCGCGGGCCGGAGTCAATCACAAGGCCGACTGTACAGAATTGGCCAAATCTTGGCTCAGACGCAACACGAAGTCCGTTAGCCAGAGTAGTAACTTGTGTTAGGCTGCTTTCGGCTAAGGGTCTTGCATACTCGACTTCAGGCAGATTAGGGATTGCGTCAGTTAAGGGCGGTAAATGTGTGACAATTTTTGTGGAAGGCTGGTTCACTGTGAGAGAACTAGCGTTTCCTCGAGCTCTACCAGTTATATTACCAATCCCTGTTCCACTCCCAACTCCAGCTTCCTCTCCGGGCACGGAAGAGGGTTTTGTCGCATAACGTCTTAAAACTCTAGAAAAAATTCATTTGAGGTTATTACTTAGAATTCTATAGATTGCTTACCTCCAGCGTTGCCGCAATCGGCTTAATACGCGAACGTTCATATTTTTTTCGGTAACTATCTTTTATGAGCCCGATGTCAATAGTTATCTTTGGTGTTTGAGTGTCTCTATAAATCTTTACAAAAAGCAATTTTTATTGAAACATGATGCGAAAAGTAAAATAAATCGGAAAACGTTCCTACACACAGATGATTTGAATTGTCATTTAAGGAAATGGGCTGTATTTTGCTGTGGTGAGATCTGATGTATTGAATGTCAAATTTATCCGTACTGGTTTAAAGCAAGAAGATTATTCACAAGAGCTTCGTTCCCCACGCTTTTCGGACTTCTCCAGTAATTACGTGAAATAACGTAGGGTCTACACCGGACAATACTTTCATGACAATAGCAATAGGAGCGTTCCTGATCTCCCAGAAATAGTCAGAAAAAGTCCGAAGTAGTCAGATTTAGTCCAAAAAGCGTTCCTTAACTCGGAAATGACAGCAAAAATGAGAGAGCAACACTCAGTGAGAGTGACTCTCATCAGTCCGAAGTAGTCAGAAGAATTTTTTCTGGCAAAATCCTGAAAAGTGTCAAACTCAACTGAATTTAAATTAACGGAAATTAAAGAATACGCAAAAAGTGAGAATAATCTAAAAAGTAAAAAAAGTGAATTGAAATTGGAAGGAGGCAAAAAATAATTCATATAGTAAGTGTTTATTGTGCTTGTGTGAATGTGTTTTGTACATACATTTCCATTCTTATTTGATGTTAGCTTTGTTGTTGCCATTCTTTGGACTAAAAATTTGGTTTTTTGCGTTCCTTTACTTTTCCTGTTATTCTCTTTTAGTGAGCGCATTTTGCTTACGTTCTGGCATTTTGACACTTTTCAAATTTTAGTCCAAAAAGATAAGGAATGAACCTAATACAAGCCGACTTGTCCACTAATCATTCATACCTTTCCACTGAACAATTTTGACAACTAATACATATATCTTCATTGGCTTGACAGCATTGTCCAATGTAAACCCTGAGTAAGTTACTCTCTCACAAGTGTCAAAAATGTGCCAACCAGTGTTGCCATTTCGAGGCTTTTGGAGTTAGATTTAGCTCTATTTTTCTATTTAGCTCCGAAAATTGGGCTTTAGCTCCTAGCTCTCTTTTAGCTCTTCAAAATTATCTAGCATTTTTTTAGCTCCAGAAAGTTTTAGTTGCGTATGGTAATATCAAAGAACGTAGATAACAAGAGTATGCCTTCTCTTTTGCCCTAGTGCGTTTTTTGATTGGATGAAAAGAGAAGGCACGCCCCTGTTGCGCACTTTCGCCGGAATTATAACGAGTTGTCGCTTCTTGTTATCTACGTTCTTTGGTAAAATAATAAATGAAATCGCCATCGGCCATCACAAAAACGCAGCTAGCAACGTATACGCGAAAATCAATGCTGCCACTTTTTCTCATTAAACCATGTTCGAATCGTGGTATTTTTCGGAGATCACAGGGTTGCTTCTAGTTTAGCTATAAAAACTGCTTTTGAAAGTTACTTTACACGGCGTTTACATGAGGCAATTTTGCCAAGACAATAGTAATACATTTACACTAATATATTCATACTCCTCTCATCGTCTTCGTCACTGTCTTTGATTTTTCAAATACAGTGAATCGGACAGTAAATTGAACAATTCGGCCACGCGTTGGTTAATTTTAGAAAAAAAGGCAAGACAAAATCGTAAAAAAATCGCGGAATTATCATAAAGTGGTTTGTGTTTGGATATTTTAGTATATAATATGAAATTCACGCCAAACGACACTAACGGCGGTTGGTGAAAAATGTATCGTCTTTATAATTGTCTGGACGCCTACTTTACCCAACAATTTGATAACTAATACACATTCCCAATTGTCTTGTCTCAAATTGTCTTAGGTAAACGCGGCGTTACATGCAAGCTGCAACTGCTCCTGCAATCACTTTTGGAAATTCTTGAGTTTGACAGACTTTTAAAAAGGGCTTGCACTTGCCACGTCTAACCGCTACTTTAGAATTTCGAACTAGGTCACGCATTCACTTCAATGAACTAGTTCAAGGAACTAAATAGTTCATGAACGACACAAGTCTACAAGGTGGTTAAGTGAATGAGTCACGAGATAATGAGAGGCACATATGCCCGTTCAATACGGCATTATCAAATGGAAAGTTACTTTAATATTTCTTTTTTTTAATTTCAATGCCCTTACGAATGTTTTTTTTTTTTTGATTCCAATATAATGTCAATGCGATTTTTGAATCACTTTAGATTAAAACGGCGTTTACCATCAAATCGATATCCATATGCTGCTGCATTCTTTGTATCTACCAGTGCAGGATTGCGATGTTTGAAAAAGCTGCCATGAGCATGTGCTGGACGAGAAGCACTGTTCGGAACGCCATCCATTTCCCTTGGATAAAATGCCTCGAAATATCCTTCGGGAGGAATAACTGAGGCGATTTTGGTATCATTCGGATCATAGGCAAGCGCACTGCGTGATATTAAAGCGACGCTAATCAGATATAGCCACAAAAACGTATGCACTGTTGTCATTCTTCCAAGTTAGCTAGAAATGTTTTTATTCTAATTATTACTGACTGTTATCTGGCTAGTTTAAGAGATTAGTTACACTACTGTAAAGTTTGCAAATCTGTAGCTTCTGCTTATCTTTGATTTCCATATATCTAATTGGAATTAGGGCTGCTGCGTCCGCCAACGATTGACTAAACTTAAAATGAAATTTCTTTGCTTGTATGATTTGTACCATGCAACGTATGCACATTTATGCGCATTCATACATACATATGTACATACACACATACATATGTAGGAAATACTCGAAGAGTATAGGCGCCCACTGTGGTGTAGTGGTTAGAAGTGCGCGCTACCATTCCGCAGGGCCTGGGTTCAAGCGCGGTTTAACCCAACATCAAAGAATAAAAAAAAAAACAAACAAAATTTTTTCCAATAGCGGTCGCCTCTCGGCTGGCATTTTTATACCACTTAGTTTCTATATGTTTTTGAGGTCGCTGATTATGAATATGAAGTCAGATTTTACAACTATGGCGTACACAAAAATGAAGAAATCAAGGTGTTTTAACCGGCCCGTCTACACACTTGAAAATCTCGTTGCGTTCTGCGTTTTTCTCTCGCAAGCGAGATAGAGTTTTGTTGACTGGGCATTTGACAGCATATTTTTTCATTTGTTAAATGTCGCCAAAAAAAGGTTCGACCCTGTATTTTCCAATACCTGTAAAACATAAAAATGGTAGTTGAAAGCATGGGAGATCTCGCAAACCGCTCGGTATGCGAGAAAAAGTATGCTTGGTAGTTTTTGCGGTCTACACGTGCGGGATTCAGCACATGAAGACGGTCGGTAATAAAACATGGCGTGCAAAGGCTTTTTACGAATCTGAAGTCAGATTTCAAAAATTCAAAATGGCGGAAGGAAAAATGAAGAATTCAGTAAATTTTTATAAAACAGCTTATTTTGGGGTTTTTGGGATCGCTGATTACGCGTCTCGAATCTAAATCTTTCCGACGAATTCGCACTATTTAACTTTTGCCATTTTGAATTTTGTAATAAACAAATTTGCAAACACTATAAATTTTAAGCAAAAAACAAATCCGACTTCAATTCTCATATAAAAATTTAAAACTGCCGTTAATTTTTTCATGATCCAACGATCGGATTTAAACCAAATTAGTATGGGGCCAACTGAGGTAAAACCTTTCCTTTAAAAAAGAATTATAGAAATCGGTTAACGTGGTGCGACGGTATGCGGTAATATACATAAAAAAATATTCCGACGAATGGATAACCCCTCTTTTTTCGAATTCGGTTAATAATTTAAAGACTTCAATTTTCCGACTTTTGTTCACCTAGATTTCGGATTCAGACCACTGTGCGCCGTTCAGAGTCGATGTAAAACTGCAGTTCCCTCCCCTTTGTGTGAAATTATCACGGCGCACACCACAAATCAGAGGAGAAGCTCGGCCAAACACTAACATATCGCACACGGTCTTCAAAAGTGACGTAACTAAAAATTTGGCATTTTTAAAAGTATATCCTAAAATGTACACTAGAGCTTTTATGTACCTTTCAGCAAAAGCTGGAGCAAATTTTGGTTATAATTTGTTGAAAAACCCTAAGGTAAAGTCTTCCTTGCCAATATGATAGCAATGTGATAAGAAATAGTTTTTCGCCTTTTCTGCCGAACGTGTAATTTTGAGTTGTGCCACCTTTGAAGATCGTGTGCGATATTGGGTAAGCGCCAATCTATTAATATTATTATTATTATAGTGACTCAAGAAAGTATTCGTTCGACGGCTCATATATGTAGGTACATATGTACATACATATGTACATAGGTATCTACATACATGTGTACTACACTGTCGCCAAGGTATATTCACTTCTCATTTCGACAGCTGGTCGCCCCAACACCACCTTATTAAATTCGCCATGGTAGTTTGTTTACTTTAGGACTGTCCGAAGAGTGCACTAAAAGTGTAGAACAATGCAGTGCATAACAATATCTGATATATGTATATATCGGCATTCACGGCTGGCGGAGATCGAAAAAACCATCGACCGCATCACTTCTATGTCGAAGGCCGCAGCACCAAGCGGCGCAGCGCTTGGAATTTCAAGGCTTTCGGCATCACAGGCAGCAGCGTCCACCTCTGATAAATTGTCAGCGACTGACATGCCAGCACTATTCGTTGTGCGTACAGCAACGATACGCAATTCAAGAGCCTACCCCCATTCGGTATCATCCCAACGTTCGTTGGCGCACTACTCGCCACTCCAGAGCCCACTAATTCCCCCAGTAACTACACAAAAAATCTCTCAAATGAATGGCAAAAATAGAAAATAACATTTGACATGATGAGGCTTTTAGTTCGTCGATGTTTTTGCAAAACCGCCCATCGCCCAATTGCGAAACCGCCTATCTTACGGCACTCAAATTTTTAAAGGAGAGCGAAAAAACGGTTTATTCTTTGAAGGCATTGCCTTGATAGGCGGTATTTTCTCTAGCTAATAGCTCTGATCCAATACTTTTCGTGTTAAATCCTGTAAAAATGTCAAACAGCAAAATTACTCTCTGAAGTGAGAGTAAAAAGTGAGTAACAACAAAAAGTACGGGAACAAAAAAAGCATTTTTTCTGCAAAAACGTCAACCAGTGATCGCTTGACACTTTTCATGATTTTACCAGAAGAAAAGTTCGTGTAAAATCTTGCAATTTCATTCTCTACACAACTCTCCAAAAATCGCTCTCATTTGCAGGATTTTGGAAGTATCCGGAGTACGGGATAATTTTTCCTGCAAGTTCGTGTAAAAACCTGTAAGTTCATGGAGTACTGGATCAGAGCTATTATTTCACAAATCTGTTGTTGTTAATATGCCTGGAGTTCAGGGTTACCAAATCTCATTTTTGCCTGAACGGCGATTTAGGCGGTTTTGCAAAACTGGTCGATGGGCGACGAGTTATATTTTTACTATCCAGCCGTTCGGCATATTGTTGGTTGAGTGTTGATTGTAATAGTTTTTATTATTTTCATAAGTTTGTAATTTCCAAATCAAAATGACAGCTGATGTTGGGCCGAACAAAATATTTTTAATCTACGCAGCTTTGGACAAATTAATATAAGACACATAAGGAACGGCTTTGTAGTAAGGATCGTTTATTTTTCTATGGCTTGTCATGTAACAAATTGGTTTTCTACTTTTAAAGAAAATATACACACAGTGATGGAAAAATAAATATGGACGCGATATTTTAACAAATTTTGCCTATTTTATTTTGCTTATTTAAAATTTTGTTTAAATAAAAGTAAAGCTCCTTATCTAAGAAAACGCATATAAATTCATATTTCGACCTTGTGAAAAATTCTGCAAAATTTCATCTTAATTTTCAACTTTTTAATGAGATTTTTTTTTCAGAAAAAAACGCCTTCATTTTTGGCAATTTTTTATGCATTTTCTTCCATACAAAGTTTTAAATATGAATTTATGAGGGTTTTGTTATATCGAGCCCTAACCGCCAAAATAACGTAAGCGAGATTTTTTTCAAAATTTTATTTTTGATGCAGAAATGAATCTAGATGCTCTAGGTATATTTCTGCATCAAAAGGAAAATTTTGAAAAAAATGTCGCTTACGTTATTTTGGCGGTTAGGGCTCGATATAATGAGTTATACTTTTAGAAAAAAATATAAATTCTAAATAAACAAAAGAAAAATAGGCAAAATCTGTTAAAATGTCGCGTCCCCATTACTTTGCCACCACTGTACATTTTTAAAGAATTTATTAAATCTCGTTTAGGTAGATATCTTCCCATATTTAAACGAAATGTCGATCTTCTACTTTGGTACTTAACAATTTTTTTCGTTTTCTAATTGTTCGATATATATTAACGTAACTAATCCTCGGTGAAGGGATGCTCCGAAGTTTCACTGTTGTTCAGTCGTCTGTTTTCCAATATTCTAGTAGATTTCTCTAGTGTTTCTTTGTAAAAAATATTGTTTCCTTCCATCGGCATCGAGTACTTCGAAGCATCTAAATGCCATGTCAGACCCAACACTATATTGAATGCCGATACGTCATAGGCGTGGCATCCTGAATACCGATACAGTGGTTTTTTGTTGTATTTACAGCCATTCCATTGTGCACCTAAAAAAGTTTGTTATATTTAAATATAAATTTTTACAAGTTTATGGTTAGTTTTTTGAATTGAAGCTTAAGCGTTTGCATATACATACAAACATATATGTGTATGGCATACATAACAGCTTAAAGCTTAGTATCCAGCTCTTAAGAAAAGCAAAAACTCCATATAAAATGACGTACAAGAAATGGCTAAGAAATTTTCTTGAGTCAAATTTCCTTAAGGCAGTACGCAGTTCTTCAGAAATTTAGTACGCTTTCTACTACGGTTTTCTAAAGTTTTTTGTGAAAAAAGAGCACAAGGCAACCCAGGTTTGCAACAGAAATATATGCCCGTTCCATTATTTCTTGAGGAAAGAGTGAGGCAACAGGCTGTGAGGTATAAAAAATGTCAAAATTCCTTGGACACACACGCGAAATAATGGCAATTTTTTCTTGACCGTTTTCTTAAGAGCTGGATACTAAGCTTAAGTCGGGAGACAGCAAGAAAATTCTAAAAAGTTGATTTTCCTGTGTTTTTTTTTGGACCGCCGTTATGTACATAGTACAGTTGTCCAAAAAATAATACGAGTGCGATATTTTGACCAGTCAGTCTATTTTCCCTTTGTTTAATTAATGTTTGTAATTTTTTTAACAAAGGTTTAGCAGGTTATACAACAAACACCCTATACATAAATCCACATTTAAAACATTGTACAAAGAATATAAAAACTCAACAAATTTGCACCGAAATTTCAAAATTTTTAATCAGAATATAAAAATTCAGCTGGTTTTTGAGAATTTTTTGGTTGAAGGTGTTCTTGTTTTCATACAAAGTATGTTCGACAATTTTTTTTTTATGGAAGACGCCAGCAAAAAAAATTTCTAAAATCACCAATTAGCAGCTTGAAATTTGCGTTTTTTCCCTTCTATCAGTTTTCATATTAAATTCAAAAAATAATTTTTCACTGAAATTGCTTTCGTGAAACTGGCTATTCGTGATGTAGAAGCTAATTTCTAATTCTGAAAGGTTTTTATCATCGTACAGTTTCCTATTTAAAAACACTATCAGCTGATTGCCGAAAAACACCAGTACACTAACCAAAAACACACCTACAGCCTGCCATGAAAAACGGTAAGAAGTGTTACGTTACTTACGGAACTGTGCGATAGTTTTTAGTGAGTAATCAATCGAACTTCGTACAAAACATACATACATGGTGGAAAAATAAATAGGGACACGACATTTTTTTTTAATTTTGCCTATTTTTCTTTCGTTTGTTTAATATTTATTATTTTCTTATAAAATTATAACAAAATTGCATCTAAATTTTCAACTTTTTATTCAGAATTTTTTTGAGTATGCAGTTTTATAGCCCATTAAATTCTAGTAGAACGAGGTGTAAGTTTTAGTTTCTAAAAAATCGCGTTGATTTTTGGAAAATTTTTTTAACGCATTTTCTTCCATACAAATGTTCGGCATTTTTTTTTTTTTATGGAAAAAAGTGCGTAATACATTCAGAATAAAAATTACCAAAAACCAACGCAATTTTTTAGGAACTTTAAATTGCACTTTATTCTACTAAAAAAATATGATTAAAAAGTAGAAAATTTAGATGCAATTTTGCAGAATTTTCATAATTTTTGCACAAATTTGATATATGAAAAAACAATAATAAATTTAAATAAACAAAAGAAAAATAGGAAAAATTTGTTAAAATGTCGTGTCCCTAGTTATTTTTCCACCACTGTATGTATATACATATGATTCAATGTATGTTATACTTACATATCGCTAGCTCAGAAAGAAAAGTTGCTAAGTCCCATTTTAAAAATTTTACAGGAGAGGAAAAAATTTTCCTATAGCCATTTTCTTTAACTATTTCGCAAGACTTTGATTCAAACATTTTGCGCATTCAAAGCAAAGCAAAACTCCATAAGAATCAGAAGGATTCGATATTTATTAAAAGATGTCGTAGTATTTTGGCCTTATCGGATTTGTGGTGCTTCTTTTGGACTTTGCAAATTTTCCTTTTATTGCTTATGAAGAGGAAAAAATAAAACTAGTACCTTTATAATTTTCGAAACGATGCGTATTCAATTTCTCTAGCCTCCTATATCAAAATATGAGTTTTCATAAAAAGTGGACTTAGCAACTTTTCACTCTAAGCTAGCGATATGTATATGTGTATATTGTCGTTTAAACTACAAAACCGCGTATCAGGATAATGCATAACCTCATATGTGAGGTTGCCCAAATTTTACTGCAGTAGTGCAGTCCATGGAGAGAGTAAAACCTAAAGTAAAAGACGTAAGAGAAGAAGAAAAAATTAGAGTAAAACCGCTATTATTTCAAAACGGTTTTCGATACGCGGTTTTATTTTACTTCAAACGACGATATGTTTTGCACGAAGTTCGATTGGTTTCTCACCGAAGACCTCGTTTTTCTATGGTTTTTTCCACTACTTTGTGTACATACATAGATTTAATAAATATATATGTGCATATCGTTTATTTAATTAAATATCGCCGTAACTTAAAAATGGATGTTAGTGTGTAAAAATTTGGGGCCAAACTCTTGTGTAGTTTCTGCGTTAGAAAATTATACGCAACTATTTTTTTACTGCTTTTTGGGAGCAAATTAAAATTTTTAAACGTGTGCGATATCAAATGTATAAATGTATGTAGTAACAAATGTGTTACTCTAATGTTTTAAATTCAGTCCATAAAAGGCCCATGCTGCAACAGTTGTGATGAGATGAGATGTGTAGGATTCCCTATTAGCGTACGCGCATGATTAGAATTTGTCGCCACCAAGTCTGAAATGTGACTACGTGTGCCTTTTTCTTGGGAAAGAAGTTTATTCACCAAACAAATATGTAGTTGTAAGAGGACGTCGGTTGAAGATGTTGAAAACCTGATCGGACGTCATTACATTTTGAGTGCAAATCTAAATATACGAAATTCGGCACAACTGAAATCAGTTTCTCATAAAAAATGTACGAATATAGTGATGCCTCAATTTTAAATCCAAACAATGGAAATAAAACTGTGCCAAATGTTATGTTTGATAACACGATTCCGAATTTACCCACGTTGGAAGTTCAGGAAGGAGGTATTTTCCTTGCCGTGCAATTTTAATTGCTCTAAAAAATATTCATACATTCATATACATATGTATGTATGTATGTATATATTTATGTACATGTGTATGCATTTATAAATTTTCCAGCAAATTTGAATGAGGGAAGCTCTATACCGTTAGAGTCCAGTTCATATGGAGGCCCAGAGCAGACTTTGCCTATGTACGCAATCGATAGTACTGTTCAACAATTCGAAATACCTGATCCTGTTCTGCGGCGGACTTTCGCCCGAAAAGTTTTCATTACATTGCTAGTAAGATGGCGTAATTAAATTTTTGAGAGTACACAAATATATATATATATAATTGATATTTTCGCCTACAGCTACAACATATAATTGCTTTGCCAATTATTGAAATATTTATCGTCTGTTTCAATCCAATTTCTCATCCCGTTATTCAAGGCGTACGAGGATTAGTGTTTTGTATTCTCATAGCACTTTATTTTTTTAGTGACATGCGGCGATATACACCCATGAATGCTATAGTTTTTGTCATAGTTACATTGTTAATGGCCATAGAAGCAGGAGTCCTTGCAACGTGGATTCATTCTCAAATTGTAAGATTTCAATATATGTATTTTTTTATCAATGAAACTAAAGCTTGTTTATACTTTTAGGCCATATTCCCTCATCTTATAGTCATCGTGCAAATATTGGCTATAGTTGGCTACTCCGAACAAACTCGATATAAATTTACCGTTGTGAACGCTATTTTATTGGTTCTTCTGGTGGCATTTGCTGGTCACTATATCACGGAAATAATATTCTTCTCATTTTCCTTTACTGAGATTGCCTACACACTTCTCTCGGTTACGACTTATCGAGCAGCGTACATTGTTTATGATATGCATCTAATGTTGAGTGGACATCATGGTTATAATCTTAAACCAAACGAGCATTTATTCGCATCTACTAACATCTACGCAGACATTCCTAATCTTGTTTGGCGATTGTTTAAATTTATCGTCATAACTCCACTGGTTAAGGTGTATCAGTTTATGGCAAGTTGCTGCTTTGCAGAAGTGTGTTAATTACAATCTATTCATTAATAGTTCTCTTTGCAATATATATATATATATATATATATAGATATTTATATGCTCATATCGCTGATTTACTTTAATAGTGGCATAATCCAAAAAATATAAAAAAATAGTTAATAGTGGTGTAATTGCAAAGCTGCATCGATTACCATATCTATTCGGTTTTACTATGCGAGCATACGTATGTAAATAACCAAATTTTGAAGCAATTTATCTCAACTTTTACTTATTTGAGTTATGACACTATTGAACCAAATGAGCGATATACATATGAAAATTGCTATAACATCGCATTTAATATTGAAATATCGCTTTTGTCAGCAAAATTTATTGAAAACTCATAACTATTAGCTCTTGTTGAGAAATATGTGGATTTTAATTGCTTGTCATTGTTTGTTTACCATTAAAGTTAAAAAGTGTTATCATAAAGGAAAATAAATATTTGCCTATACAGCTGCGAACATGAAAATAGCAGAGCCAAATGTAATCTATTAATGGAAAATAGTGATTTCCAAAATATAAAAAAAAATATGCTCACCAAAATAATCTGACAAGTTGTGCAAAGCTTTGCACTGGTGAGCAAACAAAAATTGATTTCAGAGTGAATTAATTAGTGCGTTATCAAATATTAAAAAATATTGAGTTAATTAATTTTTGAAGTACATGAGCGATATGTGAGGTACATACCTTCATATGCACATATCGCCGATTGAAGTATAAAACCGCGTATCAAGAAAGTGGGAAACGTCATATGTGAGGTCGCCCAAATTTTATGGGATACAGTAAAACTTGTCTTAATTCAAAACGGCTCTCTCTTTTATCCCTAATTATCTCTTCTTCTTATATTTCTAAGTATCGATATTGTAGTATGAATGGATAAGGGCTTTATGCCAGGAGCTTCCGGTTAGCAAATATCTATTTACAGGTCTATTCTGCACGTTACCGAAGCTATGAAGAATTGTGCAAATCCTGACATTGCATATTTCACGGGGCAATAATTTGTTACCAGCTTATGAGATGGTAACAAAATTTACCGGTTACGAGAGTACACAGAATGCGAATAGGGTTTAAAAATTGACAGTAACTTTATTTATAAAAAGTTTGGAACCGGTAAATAAAGTTCCTGCCAATTTTTAAAACCTTTTCGCATTCTGTGTACTCTTGTAACCGGTAAATTTTATTACCATCTCATAAGCTGGTAACAAATTATTGCCCCAATTCTTCATAGCTGAATTGCTGAATATTTTAACTGCATTACCAACGTACCTAGAATCGCGGTGACAAGAACTGGTAACATTTTTTGGTAATACAATTTTCCGGTTACAAAATCTTCGGTAACGTGCAGAATAGACCTGTTAGGCTCAAATCTATTCATTAATACAGTTACAAGGTTTAGCATAACCGCGGTTGTGTACTTTTAACGACGATATGTATATCCTAGGTACCAAAAACTCAAAATTTATATCAAATTACACAGATGACTTGTGGCCCGCAATAACAAAACTCATCGCATAACAATTGCTTAGCTACAGCACTCAAAACTTTGGCTTTAAATATAAGTATTATTTCGTCGTTGTCACGTGCTCAATAAGTCCTAACAATAGCTTTGTCTGCGTACTTCCGAGTAAAAAATATCCAGTAACCCGATTTCGGAGAGTAAGACAACATTTGCCCAAAGTACTTTGCAAGTAGTTTTAAAATTTTCTAGTTAAATCGTTCAATTTTGGCAGTTTTAACATTGCCATTCCAAAAATGTATCCAGAAATAGCTTGCCACTTCCCCTCAACATCAAATGCCATGGCAATGGCAAACCTCCGAGAGTATTTCTGCCATGAAAAAGCTTCTCACAAATATACAACTGCCGTTCGAAGTCAGCGTAAAACTGTAGGTTAGGGCGGGTCGAAAACCAAATTTTTCTCAAATCGCTTGGTAATAGTGAAAATATATTGTATCATGAAGTCAACAATAATTCTCGCCTTCAATTTGGTAATTATTACGTACCCTTCTAGTAATATTTACCAATTGTATAACTAACTTCTAAATGAAAGAATCTGATTACAGAAAAGTGTGCTAGGGAGTGACTTTTTTCGTTCAAGCTGAAAACAAAGCAATATTGTCCAATTGGAGAGCCCTCAGAAGAATTTCCCAGGATATGTTAAAGACTATTGCATTTACCAACAGTAACTTTTTCCCATAATGGAATTGACTAAAATATTTATATCAAAACACTTACTGCACGTCCCCTACTTTCATATAACGGCAATTTCAAAAACCGCGAAAAAATGTGCTTTTCGGTGACTAATGAAACCATTCCGCACCAATTTTGAAGACTGCATAAATGGACTTAAAATGGGCGTTTCTCACCCTAATTGTATTTTGTTAATGTATGTATGTACTTATGTGCTCGAAGCTACTACTAACTTATCGCACGATTAACAATCTTGGACAATGCGTACGTACGACGTACGGGAACGACTTTGGACTAAATCCTGCAAAACCTGCAAATCGTATACGTTCTGGAACGCTCTACGTGTGTAAGCGCCAATCATGATTATTACCATTATAAAAGTAAATTTTTTTGCGGCATATTTTTAGGCGCAGCAGTTAACGTCATTTGCTATGCGATGAGTTTTGTCATTGGCGTGCGAATATTGCCGTTAGTAACCTTATATTCATAACAGATACAACAATGGTTATCACACACTTTTTAGTATATTCATATCCACACTTACCTATGGGATCAATACATTCCAATGTCAGAACACACTTTAACCATGGCAGCATAATATTTTTTTCTAAGAAGGGACTGCCAGAAAATAAAGCTATGTCGAGGTCAATCATCCGCAGGAAAATAAAATCATCAGCATCAGTTTGAAAGTAATCAAACATTTTGGGATGTGTGAGTGTCGATACCGCAGTGGGAGTATTCCAACCCAGGACACCTGAGGTCATAACTCTACTTCGTAATTTTTGTGAGTCATGGCTACCACCACGAAATCGAATATAATTTTCTGCGAATAGAATGTTGTGGGATCGGGTCAAAGCGTCTTTTATAACAATCGGGCGATAAGCGTGCATACGCTGCTCTGATACATGTGAGGGGAAGAGCGACAAGTCATAACTTATAACTGAACATTTAGAGATGTTACAGTAAGTAATTAGAGCTCGGCAATCATCTTCTGATAATCCAAGGTCATAAATGAGCAGATGGTCATCCGGTAATTTCATAGCGATGTTTTGAGCAAGTAAGATTGCCGATGGCGCTTGACCATCCTGTACGTATGTGACAATGGTGAAATTAACCTTTGTACCATTGTATGGCGGTGTTGCTATGTGCGATCTGCTATTGTGCCGAAATGAGTTCGGGCTGTAAGGACTATCGCCAACATCCTTTAAATCCTGTGAACCCCGATTTGGCAGCGGAAGATGGGATACTTCTATAGTTTCAATTTTTCCCTCCGACTTTGGTCGGTTTTCAATTTCATAATGATTAAATTCTTGAGCCTGTTTCGTGTAAATCGTATCGGTGAATCCAAGCAAAGCCAAATATTTCGGGTCTATTTGAAGCTTTTTTTTCTCAGCAACACGCAGATTTTCCTGTATTTTATTTAGAAAAAAAAACGGATAAGAAACCATTTTAAATAAGAATTTTCTATATTAATAAGTTTTTTCTAGATTTTAGTTCCTGAAAGCCGCCTGTAAATTTTTCTCCATTCGTTTAAAAGTTAAACGCTGCTTCTCACAAATCCTGTTTGAATTTTTATGTTTCTTGTGTTAAAGTGCGGTTAAACGTAGCAATGCAATCGCTTTTCGAGGAACTTTGCGGTCAAAATGCGAAAGCAAAAGTCCACTTTCCCGTGGAAATACCTAGCAAGCAGCTTTTTTCAAATTTGCCGAAATCAGATATAAGAATTGCAAGGTGTAACTGGAACTGAAAAAGCGAAAATCACTTTCGAGAAATAATTTCAACTTGCTCGTGCTGCACTAGCAATTTTAATTTTTGCTGAAAGTAATGTCAAACCAATCGAGGGGTTGCGCTGTGTTGCAATTTTTTACGAATTTGTGTAAACTTACAAAAATACGTTGAACTTGTTTATTCTCCTGGGAGCCAATTCTGGTACTATGAAATTGTGAAGTGAAATTGAAGAATTCAATGTCAGTGCAGATTTAATTTCTTCACTTTATCATTTTGTTATATCATTTTAAGCGATTCTCGATCATTAAGTGCTCTCCTTTTCATCTAGCATGTAATTATTACTTTTCTCCGTTTTTGTATGTATAAAGCCGATTGGCGTTAATAAATAAATAAAATAAAATAAATTATTGTCAGTTTAAGACAATGAGATTCTTTATCACAAGATGGTGATTTTGGGAAAAACGCCCGACTTTTCTTTTTCACAGCCACAAAACTTTGTGAAAAAAATGTTCACAGTGAAAACTTTTTGGCAAATTCATTTATTTCCTTTTAAAAAAGGAATCGTTATTTCACTTCACGTTTTCACTGATATGAAATATTTAAATATTAATGCATTAGACATTTTGTGGTTCATTTGTCTGCACTTTTACTAAATTTGTTTTTGTTATAAGCTTAAAAATGAAAGTGACATTTTCTTAATTCTCCGTGTAAACAGACGAAAATGACTATAAGAAAGTCGATATACGGAAATTAAAAACTCTTTTTGAAAGTTACTTTTCACGCAAGGTGTAACTGCTCCTACCATCACTTTTGGAAATTCTTGGGTTTCACAGACTTTTCAAAACTGCTTGCACTTGCCATGTCTAAAGAGCGCGTCAGATATTTCGATGCAATAAATTTCGGAAAGGCTGTCAAATTGAGAAATCAGTTCCATGAGCAGTCACACTTTGCATGGAAAGTGTCTTTTGAAAGAGGTTTTTATTTCCGAACGGCGAATTGCAGGAAAAATTTCTGAAAGTTTTCTGAAGTTTCTGGCAATCTTTCTCGATACTAAAATGCAACCATGAGCGGTGGGGTTGTCGTTTGTTTGATATTTCTCTTGTAAAAGCGAGAAAATATAGGTTATAATTAACATATTTGTCGTGTAAACAATAATTTAACGATTAAGTATATTAAACAAAATAATATATTTCAAGCATATTTGATATTTAATTCAACAATAGTTGCGTTTTTTTACTCATTTCCAGTAAAATCCAGTAAAGCTGATGCCAGATAAAACTTTGTAGCTTTGCGTGACATTTATAACTTTGCCAGCAAAGCGCCAAACGCAAAAGGTATGCCACAATGAACGCCAAGAAAACAATTTTGTACCGCTTTTTTACTAGTCAAAGTTGCTGTGGATTTCATATATTTTGCTTTAAAATTATCAGCAATGTAATTAAGTTTTATGTTTCTGCATGAAAACTCGAATTTGGACGAAACAAAATAAATATTAAACTGGCTGATTGTCAAAGCGCGCAAAAAGATGGGAGTTGGCCATCTTTTCGCTTCGCGCTGCAGCTTCGACGATTTATGTGGCATGCTTTGTGCATTTTCATACAATTCATCTTATCTGTCAAAGCGAATCTGTCACGTAAAGCGAAGCAAAAGTTTTATGTGGCATCAGCTTTANCGTTTTTTTACTCATTTCCAGTAAAATCCAGTAAAAGTTTTTACGAATTTTCATGTTTTGGCGTTTTCGTACGCAAAAACTTGTAAAGTAGGGGAAATTGAGAGAGCGAAAAATGACAGTTGAAGTTGCAAGTTTTTACTGGATTTTACTGGATAAATTTTTACTTGTAAGAATTTGCCAGTACGAAAAACAGCTGATCGCATGTTGCTGGATGAAATTTAAACTAATAAGGAAACTGTTTTTGGGTTTTTATTGTTGAATTGTTGAATTTAAATACAAAATATATTGTTTTATTAGGAATTTGCTGCGAATAAACAACCAATTTATCAGCTGTTCATGAAACTTGCAAATTGTTACTGGAAAAGCGTTCGCGTACTTTATTGCAATTTTTTTCTTTGAGAGCGAATTCTTAGAAATAAAGTTACTGGAGAGTTGCTGGCAAGTTACTGGATAATTTGTAAAAAAACACAACTATTATTGATCTGTAGTCATGATGCAATAATACAAGGTGGTATCAGTTGTGACAGCNTATCATTTTACACAAATTCACGATCAGGGCCACACGTCAACACTCGATTAGTTTGACAGCACTTGCAGAAGAAATAAAAATTGCTAGTGCAGCACGAGCAAGTTGAAATATATATCCGAAATCGATTTTCGCTCTTGCAGTTGCAGTCCCACCTTGCAACTTTTATTTCTGAAGCTGATTTCCGTAAGGTGGCAGAAGCATCTCTCTGGCTGTTCACACATCGAAATAAAATTTCTCTTTCTCAATTTGACAGCGAATTGCGTGCGAAAGACGGAAATATTGGCACGTCTGACAGGCTCTTAACAGCTACTTCATATGTATACACATACAATGGTGGCAAACATGATAGAATCACCTCACTTTGACCAGATTTGGCTAAATTTAAGCTTCCAAAATCTGAACGAAATCTTTAAAAGTATCGGAAATATTTTTCAAATTCTCTAATGATTTCTTTATGAATTTTGGAAGCTAATCGTATGAACGGGTTCAAACGAACTCGTAGACATTTCTGTACAATTTCTTAAAGAAAATCCTGGAAGTCTTCTTTCCAGCGTTACTTTACCGACTTTCTTCCGAAATTCCGAAAAAAACCATATGTGATCAGTGCATTTCATTTTAAAAACTCGGAAAAAAATAGGAAAGGAAATAATTTTAGAAAATCTTTTAGATTTCTGTACTTCGCAGGGTTTCTTCAAAGTTGGAGATTTATGTCCTTATTCAAAAGAATACATAGATTTGAATTTGAGTACAATAAAGTTAATTATCAATTTGAAAATCATAAATTTAGCAAAATATTAAAGAGCTTTCTTACCTGCAATTTGTTTAGCTGCTGATGTGTATGCGTAACAATACTTTTCAAAGAATCGTTGGGTTCACCAGCCGGTCCCAAAATTATGAAAAATATTGTTGTAATTATAATGCAGCAAAGTATTAAAATAAAGTGTTTTGTTCTCATTGCCGTCAGTTTGTGCGATTTACGTTGAATGTTCGATTTTCTTCGCCCAATTTCCTTCAAACGCTCCAGAGCAGAAATTAAAATGGAGATACGAATACTGATCTAAAGTTTTTAGAGCACTGCCATGAGGATGTTACATACAATAAGGAATCTCACATGCCTGTATTTCAATGATCCCTCTTTTAATATAGATAAACAGTAAGCGCTTACAAATATTATTTTTATTTATCATCGAAGCACAGAATTTATAGATAATCTGTTTAACTAGTATTTCCTTCGTTTTATCTAGTAAGACAGTTGTCTTTAGAATTTTTGGAATGTATGTTCCGTTATTTCAGTATGTTTATTTTTCTTTATATATCTTACTTTAGTAAAACGTTAGTAGGTAATTTTTTTGCAACCCGTTTTTCGTTTAATTACAATTTGAGCTACAGTCATTTCCCCAGTAATCGGGTTATAAGAAATGTAATTCACATAACTACATGCGTAGTACATATATATATATGCATAATTTAAAAATTGCCAAACGTCCTTTCAGTTTTCGGGGCTTCGCAGGGAGCATTCCACACGGGACAAATAGCACATTTATTGCAAATAAGCTATCGTATGTTCATTGATTTAGAATGGTTCGAGCCCCCCCGCAAGATGTTGAGGCTATAAATATTTAGTCATGCAGAGGTGAGTAACAATTTCCGTACCCATTATTTCACTTTATATTATCTCGTCATAACTTGCTTATTGTATTTGTTTAGATTAAATTATTTATTTACATTCGATAATGCATTTTATTTAATTCCAGCTGAGCTACGACAAAAACTGAGGCAAGGAAAAATGTGAAAACTAAAAAAAAAATCAGGATGTCAGTTGAAAATGGAATGTCAAACTTGCTGGAATTTTTTTTTCTGGAATGCACTACCGGAAATCATTGGAACGAACTACCGGAAATCAGTACAGGGTGATAAACAGTTTTAGATATGCAATTTTATGATATCGGCGTCGTATTTTATAAGATTGTCGTATGTTAATTTCGGCAGGTTGTGGGAAATCGCGATTGAAGTTTGGACTGGGGAAAATTTTAGTATGCGGACGGCAAATTCTACAAAAAGTGGATGAGGGGGAGCGGGGGGTAGAATAGGACCCCATGATTTAAAAAAAGACCCCCTATATTCCAAACAATTTTTATTTTATTTTATATTTTTATTTTAACATAAAAATTATTTTATTAAATTTTGTTTTATCTTTTTTTGTTTAGGGTATATCATATAATTATTTCGTTATTAATCAAATTTTTCGGAGTTTAGTTTTAATTAAAAAGGCCACAACAACTATAATAAAATAACAAAAATTTAAATAATATTTAAAAGAACAAAAACGATGTAAAAAAAAATGTTCCCTGGCAGTGGGATGCGAACCCAGGACTTCCCGGCTTACTAAATCCGCAATCCTGCAGCGGACACCACCGGGTGAACTAATTAAAGTACTCAAATTTCTATATATTGCCGCGTAAATTTTTTCTCTTCATATGGATAGCACCGTTCTCTCCCATCTTAACAAAAAGCTGTTTCTAAGATGTCTATGATTGACACAACTTAAAAACCTATTCTAAACTTAAAGCTGTATTTTAACAAGAATGAGTTTTAACTTGCGGCTATGACTATGAAATAATTGAACCGTGTTTGGTAGAAATCGATGAAGCGGTTATTGAAATACACGTATATAGTCATAAGTGTCACGCCCATTTTCCAAAATTCCATATTATTCTTTTCAAGGGATTGTTGTGAGTATCAATTTTGAGTAAATTAGAGTCCTTAAATTTCGAAATATCAAGTTTCAGCATTTCTGAAATTTACTGTTATATGAAAAAGTCCTATTTAAAAAATTTTCAACGTCTAGCTTTTATGTGGAAAGTACAATAATTATACTGTATGTGGTCATAAGAGGGCGGTGCCACGCACATTTTCGAAAAATTTGGGTATAAACGTATATATTGCAAACATCAAATTTTGAATAAATCGCTTCAGTAGTTAGGTACAGACTTATGGAAGATTTCGTATTTCTCTAAATTAACGTTTTATGGGATGTGGGTGTTCAATTTGCTGATACGGAGATATGTATATCTATCTCGATTCGTTTTGGCTGTTACAAACAACCGTTATGTGAACAAAGTTGTAATACCCTTGTGCACAAGGGCGCTCGTGTATAAAAAAGGAAAGGAAACTTTTCCTGAGGCAGCGCGAAAAATTATATAAATACTTATTACTTATAAGGCAGCAACTGGGCCATTCTTAAATTTTTAATTAATTAATGAGCCCTTGTCTTTTAACTCAGAGTGAAAGCATTAATTAACAGATTTAACGATCATTAATAAAGTGCCATTAGAGCTAATTTAATGAATGTTTCTGAGTGCGGCCGTAAGTGTTGTAAATTGTTTGTTCATCAATAAAGCTAGTTGGATTAATTTTGAATTTTGCTTTCCGCTTCCTTACGGCATATGGTTTTTGCGAGAAGATTTTTCACGGAGGAATTGGCACTCTAAAAAGTACATGTAAAAAACTACTACTGAAAAGTGTTTATTTTTCAACCAGAATCTATGCAAACATACGCATAAGATGTTCAAGATCTGGTTTTTGAACATGATATGTTTAAAATATTCACATAAATATACACATGAACGTTTGAAATTGCAAACATTTTAAACAAAAAAATCATTTTCTACTAATAATAAACATTAAGTGCTGATATTCAATCGATTTTAAACATTTGATGTGTAATTTAGCTCCCCACGACAAATTTGGTATGAAAAAGTAAACAAGCAGTGTTTAATTTTATTAATACAGTGTGTAAATTTGCACAAATTAGGTGAGAAAATTGGTTACGTACCTCTCTGGACAAAATTTTGATGGTTGTCCAACCAGGAATCGATCCTGCGTTATTCTGAGTTGTGGCGCTCGGCTATGGCGACCGCTTCATTACATTTTCCCGCTGGGTAGGTATTGATATTAGATCATAGACAATAGATATGCCAACATACATATGCTTTTATTAATTCTCTCTTCGCGCAACTTCATTCAAAATAGAAATTAGACGGCAACTGGGTCAGCTCAGATTTTATTGAAGGTTGTGTAGGATACCTAAACACATATGTACACTTACGTATGTCCATACATATTTATTTATGTTAGAGTGCAGCTGTGTGATTGTGGGTACTTCTCCCACATTCGATTAAAAATTGAGGAAAGTGAATATGATCGCCAATCGACTGTTTGCAGAAAATTTACATATCTTAAACAAATACTATATTTGGAAATTAACTACAAAGAAGTCGGTTAATTATTTAGGGAGGTAAAACAAACACCATTGATATAGCCCAGCCGGGCGCGGATGTGAGAACGATTTGGCGATTCGGCAGAATTCCTCCTTATATCATATTTTCATGCTAATTCTGGGCAGTTTCCACGTGAGCAGAGAATATGCATCTCTATTTTCTGCATTTTGCTAGTCAATTGAAAACTTCAAACGCGTCCTCTGAAACATTTGCGGATTTTAGTGTCATACAAATTTGCGTCCTAGCCAAAATCGAGTTCGTTTCATAACACTTTCATTTGTATCCCGCTTTCAAAATGTTTTTCTCATGGAACGTAGGCAAGGAAATTTTGAGTACTACAAGAAAATATTCCTTTGAGTCAACTCAATTTTTCTCAATGGCCATAAACTCAAAATTCAATGTAATATCTTTAAAATGGTTCACGGTGCTAAAAAAAAAAAAATCACGAAATACACACGAAAAAAAGAACTTGTCTATTTTTCAACCGATTAAACATCAAAGCGCACACCACAAATCGAAGTGGAAGCTCGTCCAAACACTAACATACATATGTGTAAGCGCCAATCTATTATATTATATTATGTACATAAACAAAAAATTTGAATCATCTTGAAACGGATGCTTTGCTAAATTCTATGGTTTTACCCGAAACTGTGCGTTGACACATCATTTCGTAGCTGTGCATTCAGAATCTGAATTTGTATTGATTTCGCCGCAGTGTTGGCGTTACGTATAGGTGAATTAGATTTGTGTGATTAACACGAGTATACATATGTACATACTCGGTAGGAATTAGGAGCAACTTATACCCCACCCGGTGTTGGCCGAATTCATCTTACTCTAATAAATGTATGACCGCCTTATGTTCATAAGTAGGAATTTAGAAGGACATTCGGTATCAGACATTCTTCTAAGCTGCTTTACCAAAATAAAACTCGAAGAATGTAGAGCAAATACGGCGATTGTATTTGTATGAGAAGTTGTTTTTCATGGCAGAAATCCACTTGGTGGTTTGCTATTGCCTGCCGCGGGGCGGCCGCTCTTAAGAAGAAACCTTTTTTCTATAGTTTTTTTTTTTGCGATGTTGCTTTGACCAGGGCCGGCGCGCACTGCTAACCACTACACCACAGTATCTTCTGCGACACATTATTTTACAACTTACTTAGTAACATGTAATCGGAGGTGTTAATTTTGTGCTTTACTAATAGATAACAATATTTAGTTATGATAACAATGTTGGTACTAAATAAAAGCAGAGCAAAAACATAGATTGATTCGTAAGGTGCTTACCTATTTTCCAACTGGGTGTTGATTCGAGTGACTCAGCATGTGGTAATATTAATCGGCACATACAAAAATACATACTATGTATATTAGGGTGGGTAAAAAAAAAATCAAGTTTTCTTTTTTTGGATCCGACACACGAAACCTAGTTCCTAGGTACCTCTAGAAAGTACTTATCAAATCTGAGCTCTTAATATTAACGGGAAGATTATTCTCATCATAGTTTTCCATTTTCAATTTAGTCTCATATAGATATGGTCATATCTTATCACCAATAGATCGTTAAACCAGTTGCATTGTCAATATTTATAGGAAATTGAAAATATACTCTTTTCATTAATCTAACCATTTAGAAGATATTCAAGGTCAAAGGTTGAAGTATTTTAAGAAAAATAACTTTTTGTTTTGAATTTTGTAACTTACTAAAAAATAATTATTGTCAAATGAGTTTCAATCAACCACATGAGAGCTTTTTTGTAGAGAGTTCAATTTCCTATAGAAATAATTGAAACTCCAACTGTGTCGGGTCCAAAAAAAAAACCACTTGATTTTTTTTTACCCACCCTAATGTATATACATGCATCTGTATGTATATGAACATATGTATGAATGCAGGAGAAGATATACGATTGAAATTTTATCCACTCGATTTTATCAGCTTTAAAAAAAAATTAAAATTAATCAAAAACTATGAACATTGGACCGCAAGTGGGACTTTTCTTAAATTTTTAAATTTAATATTTTTTGATAGTAAATAATTTCTTATCAATATATATTTAGTTTAGTTTTTTATGAAAGTAATCACGATTTCACTTTTACTAGAAACTGTGCCTTAAATAACACAACTGACTTACCAGTTTATACCGAATTTTAGGCAATTTCGTAATCGACTAACTCGCCCTTAAGTGCAAACTAAATTTCGTAATTTGCCTTACATGCAATCTTTTGTTCATTTTGTATCATAATTTTCGTTTTAGATTAAGTAGTATTTATTAAGCAATGGGTTGTGCGCTGGGTTTGGGACCCATCACGTAAAAACCCCTTCCAGCGAAGAAGCGAAGCAATGCCTCGGATAAGATCCCCTTTATGATGAGGACCACGGCAAACGTTTAAAGGGCTACGTTTTGAGGGCATACCTCTAGAATGTCCGGACCCTTAAAGCGGAAGGTGCCTCTTCCCGTCTGGTTGATGTCCTCGTAAGAACAAAAGCTGACATCACCGCCATCCAAGAAATGCA